TGTTGGTCTGGTGGGCAGAGCTCAGTAAAAGTTTAATCTGCTTGCCTGCTAATGGGTGGGGCTGTGTCCCCTCCCTGTTGGTTGTTTGGCCTGAGGCGACCCAACACTGGAGCCCACCCGGGCTCTTTGGTGGGGCTGCTGGGGGACTCTGGGAGGGCTCATGCCAAGGAGCACTCCCCAGAACTTCTGCTGCCAGTGTCCTTGTCCTCACAGTGAGACAGAGCCACTCCATGCCTCGGCAGGAGACCCTCCAACACTAGCAGGTAGGTCTGGTTCAGTCTCCCCCGGGGTCACTGCTCCTTCCCCTGGGTCCTGATGTGCACACTGCTTTGTGTGTGCCCTCCAAGAGTGCAGTCTCTGTTTCCCCCAGTCCTGTCAAAGTCCTGCAATTAAATCCCACTAGCCTTCAAAGTCTGATTCTCTAGGAATTCCTCCTCCCATTGCCAGACCCCCAGGTTCAGAAGCCTGACATGGGGCTCAGAACCTTCACTCCAGTGGGTGGACTTCTGTGGTATAAGTGTTCTCCATTTTGTGGGTCACCCGCCCAGCAGTTATGGGATTTGATTTTATTGTGATTGCACCCTTGTATCATCTCACTGCAGCTTCTCCTTTGTCTTTGGATGTGGGGTATCTTTTTTGGTGAGTTCCAGTGTCTTCCTGTCGATGATTGTTCAGCAGTGAGTCGTGATTCCAGTGTTCTTGCAAGAGGGAGTGAGAGCACTAGTATTGCTTTTTTGACCCTGGAGTTATTTAGGAGCAATTTCTTAAATCTGTCAAGCATACATAGTTTTCAAAGTTCTTTGTTATTTCTAATTAATTGCTTTGTGTTCAGGGAACATGTCTTGTTTGTACATATTCTTTGAAATTTATTGAGACTTGCTTTATAGACAGCATGTGGTCAACTTTTTTAAATGTTCTTTTGATATTTAAAAAAATATAATCTCTGTTGGATTTGGGGTTCTGTATATGTCCAATAAATCAAGACTGTTCCTTGTGCTATTTATATTTTTACTAACTTCTGCTCTATTTAACTTAATGAGTGTTAAATCTCCTGATTGGGTTGTAGATTTGTCAATTTTTCTCTGTAGTTCTACCCACTTTTGATTTATGCGTCTTTGAGGCCATTAGATGAGTACGTGTATTTTATGTACCTGGTGAATTTCTTCCTCTACAAAACAGATAATAATATCTATATTATGAGGGTTGTGACAAAATATAAATATCTTACATAATTTTTATCACATTTATATCATAGTTATGAATCACTAAGAATAATGCCTAACACATCGTGAGTAGTAGAAGATAACGTAGTCTCTTCTGGCTTCCATTGTTGGTACTGAGAAGTTTCCTGTCAGCCTAATAGCCATTCCTTTCTGGTGACTTTTAAATTTCTTATTGCTTGCTCATTTTTGTCATTCCATGCTTTATTTCCTTAAACATTTCATACATAGTTATTTTATATTGTTTTTTTTTTTTTTTTGGGGGGGGGGCCTCTCACTGTCGTGGCCTCTCCCGTTGCCGGACGCGCAAGCTCAGCGCCCATGGCTCACGGGCCCAGCCGCTCCGCGGCACGCGGGATCCTCCCGGACCGGGGCATGAACCCGTATCCCCTGCATCGGCAGGCGGACTCTCAACCACCGCGCCACCAGGGAGGCCCTATATTGTTTTTGATAATGCAATGTAGCATCTGAAGATACTGGGAAGTCTAAATCTGCTATTTCTGCTATTCTTGCTGATGTTTGTTTCCTTGTGTTTATTGCTTTTATCAAAGTTCTCCAGAGAAAGAACCAATAGAACATATAAACACCTCACTCTCCATCACATCCAAAATCTCCTTCTCTGGTATACCCTACCTCAGTGAATGACATTGACAGTTGCCCAAATTGGAAATCTGAGAGTCAGGTCATCATCTCTTTCTTAACACCATACCCAGTTAATCAGGGTAAATTGATTCTATTGTATACCTTAAATCTCAAGTCCATTCACTTTCCTGTTGTCCTACAATCTTTCCTAGTCTAGAGCACTGAGGTCTCCTCATGTCTAATTTTACTCTTCCACTCAATATGATACGTTGTTTGAATGATCCTCATAAAATGTGAATCTAATTATGTCACTTTCATGTTAAAACTCTTTCAATTTTTCCTCATTTCCTTTTGGAATAAAGTTTAAGTGGCATGTCATGCTTTACAAGTCCCTTCATTAACCACTCTCTCTCTCCCATCCCCTCTTCTTGCACTCTAAGTTTCAGCCATCCTAAATCTCTTTCGGCTCCTCCAAGGTGGGATGCTTTTTCTCCTGGCCTCTACACATGCTGTTATTCTCTGGCCACAAGCCGTCATCTCCAAGCTAACTCATTAAGTCTTCAGTTCTCAGCATTAAAGTGTCTGGGAAGCTTTCATCCCTGCTCCATATACCAGTCATCCCCACACACCCTCTAGAGCTGCTGACTGGCTTGGCAATTACAGTAAAGAAACCAGAGTTCATTCTATTCGTCTCTTTTGTGAAGGTTGTTCCTATGAGATCATGCAATATAGACAGAAACCTAAGTAGCGCCAGAATTCCTAGGATTCTTGTAAAAATAAGTAGAAAAATCCAACAGCACCAGCAGAGTGAGAATAGCAGGAAACAGCCTTCAAATCATGAAATAACTTTAAAAAATAGACTTTTATGGAGAAAAATGTCAGTAGGCACACAGATATTATAGCACTACAAGATTATTTCTAAGACCAGTGACTTAAAACAGCAAATTCATGATGAAAATGATTCTAATTAGAAAATTAATCTGATTCAGTAATAACCAAAATAGGATCTGCAATATGACTTTCCACAATTTCTCAAGTAAGATTCCATCTAATAGTACTGTTTATACTTAATATACACTCATATTCATTTCTTACAATTTATGAATTTAAGTTTCAGCAAGAATACTTTTTAGTGTTTGGGTTATTTTAATATATGTCAATTATTTTGTAAAGGCTAAATAATTTCAGGGTTAAATTACTTAAGTGAATTTTCAGTAATAGCATTTTTAACAGAATAAAAACATGCTTCTTTTGAGAAAATAAAAATATACAGTAAACAACTCAATACAAAATTTTAATAAAATAGAAAGTAAGGAAATTTGAGTCTTATTATGCACACATGCATGTGTGTGAATTTATATATATATGTAGTTTGCAATAGCAGAAATATGCTTCTGCAGGATGTAAAATGTACTCTAGAGAACGAGAAGACAGGATATAGACATTATAAGGGCAAACTCAGTAAATTAGTTAAAATTTTATCACTCAGTAATGAGAGACCAGTTTACAGTGATGTGGCAATGGTAGCAAAAGTAGTAGGAAGGAGCTAGCACTCAACGTATCTAATAAATAAAGCTTAGTGATTCATTAAATATGATACTGTACAGGATCAAAACTTTCAACACTTATATAGATCTTTAATTGATATCTTTCAGATAAGCTAGATAATCTAGGTAGGTAAGAAATTGCCTGCTGACATCATATTTTAAAGGAATTACCTTGCATAGGGAAGTCTACTCAATACTCTGTAATGAACTATATGGGAATAGAATCTAAAAGAGTGGGTATATGTATATGTATAACTGATTCACTTTGCTGTACAGCAGAAACTATAACACATTGTAAATCAACTATACAATAAAAATTAATTTAAAAAAGAATTACCTTGGAAAACTGAAAAAGCTTCATAAGAGCTGCACGGATCCAAAATATAGTCTCCAAAAATAATGGAAAATATTGATCTGCCATCTTGCTGTCATTCTGGCTGTACTTTATATCTTCAAAAAATTTTTCACAACTAGGGTATATATCTGGACCCTAACAAGTTTATAAACATTGTAAACATGGCCATTTTCTTTGTAATTAATGTGCTTTTGTGTAAAGTGATTTACTAAAATATTTAGTTTTTTTAATATAAAAATTAAATAAGTACTCCCACCATTTACTTTATCTCAGAAATTAGACTTGCAGTTGAGCTCTAGAAGTATTGAGTAGTCATAGGTCATTTCATGTAGTCTCAAGGCAGAAGGAAACTAACAGAAAGACGAGCATCAGTTTTACAGTAACACACAACACCCAAGATATGGATCTAAAGATTAAGCACATATTCAATTATTTATTCAATGTATGTGACCTTTAAAGCTCACGCTATTTCATTTGTTCTTTATCTTCGATAGGATTAATTGCATTTGATTTTTGTATTAAGGCAAAAGACAGACATCTCCTTTTCCTTGGCTTTAATTAGTCTCAAATTTAAGAAGAGGGAATAATGCTCATTTCATAAAAAGTTAACATTGATATTAGGACATTTTTTTTTCTTCTGACAAATCTGTGCTGTGTTTATATTAAAGTAAATGTTTAAAAATACTAATCCTGAGCAAGAGTTAAAATAAGAACAGTTTTGACTAAAGAATAAAATCCCTTCATTGTTAAACCTAAACAGCTTTAAAATTCAACCATGGGATATAAAGTCAGTAAGACTGGAATTCAGACTTCTCATGTCCACGACAAACCTGAATGCTCTGAGCAGAAAGAACACACACATAATAGATTACAAAAAAAAAACAGTAAAAAGCATCAAAAATTGATGCACCTGGATTTTGTTAAATATAACAAAGGTTACTCAGTCCTTCATGGATAAACCTAGCTGGAGAACAGCACTGAACAGTATACTGCATTGAACAGATCCCTCAGAAAGGCAATGCTGGATTTCTTTTTTTTAGATAGGCACAGACTGTTCCCCCCGAAACATTCAAAGACATAAAAGACACATTTGGAAGTACAATATGAATCGTGTTTTTTGGTGGGTTTTTTTGTTTTTTGTTTTGGGGGTTTTTTTCAGCTGCGCCGCTCAGCTTGCAGGATCTTAGTTCCCTGATGAGGAACTGAACTCTACTAGGGATTCATGGCAGTGAAAGTTCCGAGTCCTAACCACTGGACCGCCAGGGAATTCCCATTTTTTGTTGTTGTTTTTTAATCCTGTCTTCAAGAAAGGAAAAAGCTCTGGCCACTTAGGAAACTAAAGTGAGTCACTTGAGTTTTTAGTTATAGCTCCCCCCTCATGAAAAATAAGAGGGGCCTTCTAGCCAGCAAAGCAGTATTATGACACCAGTAAAGGCATTAAGTAAGGGCTTGGCAACACAAGTCAACTGAAACCAAGCTCTAAGGATACTTTTAGTCCATGTGGTGAAAGTGCATGGGAGTGGGAAACTGCCAGCACAGCAGGGATCCTCTCACAGTGTTAGGGCCTGTCCACCTAGGTACAATCGATTCCAAGTCAGCATGGTGAGCACTAGGCAATGACGTCGACACTGAGCACGGCCCTCAGGGCTTCCTCAATATGCCTTTTCTTTTATTCCAACTGTCTCTCTTCCTCTTCATCTGCTTCTTCAATGACCTGAATCTCATCTCCTTGAGGTAAGGAAGAATTCTCCACCTGCAGTTTATTCCCATCAGCTTTACATTTCTCTTCTTCCTCTATGATTTCCTTCCATATCTTGTGGTTTTCGGTGAGATGGTGCATTAGCTGACAAAGTATTCGCCGTCTGCCTTTCCTTCTTTGTGGTTCTGTGAAATTTAACACACGTGTATTCTAATCATAGCAATATGATTCAATCATTCAATAAATATCTGAGTGCCTGATATATTCCAGGCATTTATCTAAGCACTGGGGTTATAGTTATAATAAGATTAAAATAATCCTTGCACCATGGGGCTCTCTTTCTAGTGGGAAGACCAAGATAAGCAAAGAAGCAAGACACTTGTGTGTTAGATGGTGTTAAGTGTTACTGGATAAAAATAAAGTAGAGAGGGGATTAGGGAAGATGGGGTGGGGTGGGAGTTTCAAGGAGGAGGGAGGATGGTACTGAAATTTCAAATGATAAATAACAATTCAAAGTTAAAAACCATCCTTTTTAGGGATTATTTTTAATGTACTGAATTAAACACAATTATCAAAATTTTGGTGAGTACAAATAATTTTTAGAAGCCAGTCAGCTTTCCCAAGATGACATCAGATGGTAATGCCATAAGATTACTCTTCAGTATGCTACTCCTGAATACAAGGTAGGGTGGGGGAAGTACTTTGTTATCTTGTTCCAAGCTGTCTTATCTGTTCTGATTTATAGCATGCTTGGGAAACAAACAAAAAAATAATTAGCTAGATATAATTTAAATCCTACTTTAAAGAGCAAATAACTGATTTCATTTTTAGTTACAAAGATGACAAATGTCTTTTTCATTTTCCATTTATACTCACTGATTTATATAGAAACACTATGCATTACAGTTTGGTAGTTCAAAGCCATAATGCCACAAAACTTGGTTTTCCTCTTAGAGTCAGATAATGTGTATTTTCCTCCTCTCCCAACTGCGTTGAATGAACTATTTCCCAAGTTTACATGAAGGGCATGTTAACAGGGGAGGGTGGTGTGAAGAGGGGTTAGGCAAAGGAGGACTAGCCACTAGGACCAGCCACCTCACGTAAGTTCAGATTTGGCGACAGCCCCATCATGTGCGCACAGGTAGAGACTGCTGAAGAGCACTGGCTGGAGGACAGCACTTCCAGAGATGCTACTTTAACTAACTAAGAATGCTTGTTGTGTGACAGCATTTGCATGGTACCCAAGCAGTAGTTACTCAAAAGGAGACTATTCAAGGCTGAACATTTAGATAGTACTTACTTAAGATATAACTACTGAATCTGTATCTTAAAAACAAAGATTCAAATCCAAATTAAATGGACATTTGCAGTTAATTAATAACATTAAAGAAATGATAGTATCCTTATATCTTACTAGGATTTAGGTTGTCTTCTATTTCTTCATCCTCTGTATCTAATTCTTCACCATCTTCTTCATCATAACAACTTTCAGTATCATCATCCTCTTCTGCTTCTATCCACTGACCCGGTAGCAAACCAGCAGCATCATAGGAGTTACACAGGGGACCCACTATGTGAGTGATAAAAGATTCCTGGAGTTTTGCTAGTTGAGGAGAAGAACGATCCATGAAGGGACTGATGGGCAAACCAAGATTTGCTTCTTCATCTCCCTGATCATATTAAAAAGAAAAGTATACCTTTAACTGTTGAAAGAACAACCACTGAGCTTTCTTAAAATTATCTTGAGGTTTTGTAATAGGCACAGTCTAACTCAAAATAATTTTTACAAAGAAGTATCAGTGAAATTACTCTGTCATTCCAACTCAAAGAATTTCTCTACTGTTTGAGAAATCCTAAACAAGACTTTATTCTCACACCCCCAGTCAACCAGTACGGTTGATATTCAGGTAGCAGGAAAAATATACATCTTTTAAAATAAATTCAGCAGGGCTTCCCTGGTGGCGCAGTGGTTGAGAGTCCACCTGCCGATGCAGGGGACACGGGTTCGTGCCCCTGTCCCGGAAGATCCCACATGCCGCGGAGCTGCTGGGCCCGTGAGCCATGGCAGCTGAGCCTGCGCGTCCGGAGCCTGTGCTCCACAACGGGAGAGGCCACAACAGCGAGAGGCCCGCGTACCGCAAAAATAAATAAATAAATAAATTCAGCAAATTTGCTAACAAACCAAAATTATATTAATATATAAATTCTATATAAATTACCAAAATTCTATAATATCAAATATAGATCCTATTTCTCCTATGGGGAGATGGTATAATGGAAACATTTTTGTTGTAGTTGTACCTCAAATGTACAGAGTTGAATTTTGCAAATGCTTTTCAATGCCCTCCCTTTTTCTTTCTAACAGCAGAACCCTTTAATGAATCTAAATCAGAAAACTCAATATGTAAAACAGACAAAAGTAGAGCTATTGTGGTTGAGGTGAGGATTTGCCCCAGCTGCCTGCCCTGTGATACCCTCCCACTTGTGGTCCCTAGGGTTCTGGAGAGCACAACTGGAGATCAGACAGATGTGGTTTCAAAACTTGCTTTTGCCACCTTCTACCTGTGTGGTGCCGGGCAAGCTCTATGCCCAATTCATGTGTAGGATGTGAATAATAATCTACAGGGTTGCTACAGGATGAAAAGCAATATTATATAAAATGTTGAGCACAGGGCTGAGCAGTCCCCAAATGGTACTATTAACATTTTAGTGCCTACTGTCTGAATTGGTGGAGGGTGAATACTCTCCACAGTGCACAAGTTCTGCAGGCAAGCAGTGTCTATCTGTGCTGAGCCAACAGAGCCCTAAGGAGACAACCAGAAACTGTCCCATGATTAAAAATCTTATATGGCTTTATCTTCTGTGAGGATGAAAATTATTAATATTTACAAAAAATATCCAGGTGGGTTTATCCACAGGATTCTACAGTTTCATACATTTGACTTTTAAATAGGAGTTAGGCTTTTCTAAGCCCATGGCACATAATGGCTATATGAGTATACATAAAGATAGTATAACTAGGGCTTCCCTGGTGGCGCAGTGCTTGAGAGTCTGCCTGCCGATGCAGGAGACGCGGGGTCGTGCCCCGTTTCGGGAAGATCCCACATGCCGCGGAGCGGCTGGGCCCGTGAGCCATGGCCACTGAGCCTGCGCGTCCGGAGCCTGTGCTCCGCAAATGGGAGAGGCCACAACAGTGAGAGGCCCGCATAACGCAAGAAAAAAAAAAAAAAAAAAAAAAAAAAGATAGTATAACTAAGGTAATAAAAAGGTAAAAAGTTGGGCCAGGTTAGAAATTTGCATCCATATCTGAAGAAGGTTGAATAGCAGAACAAGACTGAGAAGGAATTCTGATGGTTTTGATGAGGGTTGACTTTCCTATAGGTTAGTACATTTAACCTTCACGACCACTGTGTGGTAGGGTTATCAGATGGCAATTTTCTCCTTTGACATAAGAATAATGAAACCTAGAAAGATTAAGTGAAACTGTCTGAAATATTATATTGTTTTTAGTGATCTGGAATTATAATAGTTTATTGAGCACTTATGTGTCAGGAACTGTTCTAAGAACTTTACATAAATTAATTCATTTAATCCTCACACAACCTTATAAGGTAGGTACCATCAATATTCCTATTTTCTCAATGAGGAAACTGAGGCACAGAAAAGTTAAGTAACTTACCCCAGGTCACATTGCAAGGAAGAGGAGCCAGGAGTCAACCTCAGGCATGGCTTCCAAGTTTGTTTAATAAGAATTAATTCTCTATACTTTAAAAATATATTATAAAATGGGTCTAAATGAAATTTTCTAATGTTCTTTCACTGAATTAGTGGGTTTTCTAAAATTGGCATATACTACCACTTTCTTATTACCACTGTTTGTAGAGATAATATAAAGACAGCATTTTCCTTAGCATAAAATTCTTTTGTGAACCTGAACTGAAGCCTGAGGCAGTCTTCAATTATCTTTGAGAATGAGGATGGGAATATGCAAACACTACTAAACATACTGCAGTCTACATATTAGGGTAAATATTTATAACCATTTATTACCCCAAATTACATGTAATCTAGTTCAAATGTATCAGTGAAAAGTATTCTGAGATTATTGCTAAGATTTTACTAATCTGTTTTCATGATTACACAGTATGGTATTTTGTTGACTTGTAAACAGCAGAGTATACACTTTTGTATTGGGATGTTTAGCTAAGGTTGGTGAAAGACACTACATTTACTGGTCATTCAGTACAATCTGGGTGTGAAAAGGTATAACAGATAAGTGTGCAGTTTATAGGCTCCACCTTCATCACTCCTACTAGAATAGCAACTCTTGGAAAAGAAAGCCCTGTCACAGAAGTCTCACTTGGTAAACATCTTGATCTTTCCTGATTAGTAGGTCTAGTAAGTATTCCCAAGGAATGCAGTTCCAGTCAAGAGGATGTATTTATTATTTTGGAGACAATAAAATATTTGGCTTCTGGGGAAATCAGTATTTTTCTACATTGTAGGGAGCCTCAAGATTGGACAGAAAAGTGGTAAAGACTGCAAAGTGGTAGGATTATTTTAAAGACAAGATTAGAAACATATGAGAAAAGAGCATGTTTATATTTTTGAAACTTGAAAGCCACTAAGTATCTACTTTGTCCCCATTTCTAGAGCTAATTTCTTACCCTCTGCCAGGACTTATACATAGTTGATGTATCTAAGGCAGTCTTTCTATAGCAGAGTTGAAAATGGGTTGATGCTTTAAAAATACAATCTAAGTATACCCTGAATCAATTAAACAACTTCTTTTGGAAATAAATTATCCTAGGCTATAGGTTTTCAGGATTGAAAGTGACCTTGGAATCAACATGTAGTCTTTCCTTAGCTCTAGACTGGAGGACATTCAACCCACTCTACATTGGCAATAAACTATTTTTGTTTTTAAAATTTAAAGATTAATTTTTTGTTTATTTATTGTTTTTAAATTTTTGGCTGCATTGGGTCTTTAGTTGTGGCACGTGGGATCTTTGTTGAGGCATGCGGGATCTTTCGTTGTGGCGTGTGAGCTTCTCTCTGGTTGTAGTGTGTGGGTTTTCTCTCTCTAGTTGAGGTGCACGAGCTCAGTAGTTGTGGCGTGTAGGCTTAGTTGCCCTGTGGCATGTGGGATTTTAGTTCCCTGACTAGGGATCAAACCCACATCCCCTGCGTTGTAAGGCAGGTTCTTTACCGCTGGACCACCAGGGAACTCCCTGTTTTTAAATTTTAGAAACAAAGGCAAAGGAGCTGAGAAAATATTAAGACCAGAGCAAATGCAACTCATTTTTGGTTAAAGCAACTCATTTCAAGCATTTAATGTAGCTATCCAAACCCAAAGGGTAGTGTCTTCAGATGGCAGAAAAGTCCACCAATCTAAAAGTCCCACCAATCTCATGTTTCAACTTACCTGCTCATAAAATTCATTGACAATGCCTTCTGTCCATTTCAAATGCAAGTCTCGAACTTTTGTTGGGCCATTTATATCTGCCAGTTTGATGCACACCTGGCATACTAACAGGCGATCATTTTCATTACTCCATTCTATACCATTACTGTTTATATCATTGGCCTAGTTTGGAAAAACAGAATTATTTTAGGTGCTGAGGGCACAGGAGTTTTTTGTTGTGGGGGGTTTTTTTGGCCACACCGCACGGCTTGTGGTATCTTAGTTCCCCAACCAGGGTTTGAAACCACGCCCTCGGCAGTGAAAGCGTGGAGTCCTAACCACTGGACTGCCAGGGAATTCCCCAGTTTTTTGTTTTTACCAAATTGTCTTAAAACTGTTTCCTGTCCAAAGGACAGGAAGGAATTTCAATAAATGCTTCTTTTAATTGGTTTGTGCCATAACATGTACCTCTATGGGTTAAATTTCCCTTTGAAGTGTCATTTACGGTTTTGTTTCAATGGAAGTAGAGCACTGTACAAGCAGAACAACAAACCGTGGGTTTCAATGTTTGTGATTACCAGAGAAAATTGTAATTTGTGTATATTATATATTATACACATTCGTATATAATATGATATAAAATATGTATATGCAAAAGCAAATCATATAAGAATTATAACTATTTCTGTCTCAAAAAGGAACACTTAAGGATCTAACTGTAAAAGACAACATGCTATATAGTTGAAAGAACACAAGTCTTAGAAGCTAATCTCTATGGTTTTAAATCCTGACTCAGAATGATTTACTAATTCATTGCATAACGCTGGAAAAATTACGTAAGCTCCTTGAGTCCACCTTTCTTCATCTGTAAAATAGGAAAAATATCAATCTAGCCATATTGCCATGAGGATTAACAAATGAAAAATTCACAGTTCATAGTAAATGCTAACATTGTTATTTAAATAAATGCTAGTTATCAGGCAAATTACCATGCCTTTCAAGAACTCAAATTTCCTCTTGTAAGAAATAAAGTGAAGAGGCCAGATCAGTGGCTTTGGAACTTTATTGTGATGGTAGATTTTTTTTGGCATCTACCCCCCTCTTTTTTCTTTTTTTTGGCTGTGCTGCATAGCTTGCAGGATCTTAGTTCCCCGACCAGGGACTGAAGCAGGGCCAGGGCCGAGAAAGCCCTGAGTCCTAACCACTGGACCACCAGGGAATTCCCTGGCATCTGCCCCTTTTGTTAAAGGAACTCTTACGTAGACCACCACTACAGAAAACAGTTCAAAGAAAGGCGAGCTCTTTAGATTGAAACTGTGTAGTCTAGGGAGTTCCCTAGCTGTCCAGTGGTTAGGAGTCTGCACTTTCACTGCCGTGGCCCGGGTTCGATCTCTAGTCGGGAACTAAGATCCGCAAGCCTCGCCCCACGGCCAAAAAAGAAAAAAGAAAAGAAAGAAATTGTGTAGTCTAGAGCCCCACTCATGTGACATTTTTCTGAGAGACTACAGAATAGAAGTCTCTGAGGCACACAGATTCAAAAGTTTTGGGCTAGATAATCTTTCACCTATAAAAACTTCTATTTACTCTGACTTAAGCACTTAAGTGAATTTTTATTAAATAAAAATAAAAGTTAATAGAGCTATACAGTGATGAAATAAGTTTAAGGAAATTTCAAATTTCTTGCTGATTTTTATAAACAATTTATCAATATCACAACAGTGACATATATAGGTCTCCTTCCAGAAGGTTGAATCTAGTACTCCTTTGATACCTGTTCCTCTACCCTGAAGGTACACCTTCCTTTAGGGCACAAATGTTATCAAGAAAACGATTTCCTGCCTGCAGAAGGTGGGGCATCCTTCCCTCAGGAACCTAAAGCAGTGGTTCTCAACATTTTTTTACCCCAACTTCTGAGGGATAGAACGTGCTCCCATCAGTATCATCACATAAGGGCAGTGATTCTCAATTCCATAGTGAATGTGAGCTCAGTGAGGACAGGGACTTCCATCTGTTCATTCCTTATTCTTCACTAGGACGATTGCATGCAGTGGGCAATCCCAATAAACAGTAGTTCAATGAGTGCCTTATTCTATACTTTTTTTTTTTTTTTTTTTGGTACACGGGCCTCGCACCATTGCGGTCTCTCCCATCGCGGAGCACAGGCTCCGGACACGCAGGCTGAGCGGCCATGGCTCACAGGCCCAGCCGCTCCGCGGCACGTGGGATCCTCCCGGACCGGGGCACGAACCCGCGTCCCCCGCATCGGCAGGCAGACTCGCAACCACCGTGCCACCAGGGAAGCCCAGTGCCTTATTCTCACATACTTCTCCAGACCCACACCAGCCAGTTAAACACTTAATAATATAAAGGGAAACAGGTGAAGCAAAGTAGGCATAACTGGCTTCTTAGAAACACATCTTTAACTTCATAAAATGCCTTACTTGGCACTGTGCACAACTTTCTCAAATCTGTCCCTAAAAGCTTCAATTAACATAATTGGAAATGTAGCAAGCAATAGTATTTCTGGACATGTTATAATTTTTTAAAAATATTGGCATATATATTGTATTATGTCAGACTTATCATGACTTCAGATTTATTCTAACTTAATGTTAAAAAAATACCTTTTGGAATGGCCTAATCAGTTAGGTAATCTGACTGATAGAACCTGGCCATCCCCTAAAGAAAAGTAACTTTTCAATTACCAACCCACTTTTTTGCCCAGTATAACTTCCTGTCCCCTTGTGCCTATAAAAGTCTTTCATTTTATACTGGCCCTTGGAGCTCCCTTCTGTTAGACTGGATGCTGCCTGATTCAAATCAGCTTTTGATCAAATAAACTCTCAAAATTTAAAACAAAACAAAAAAATACCTTTTGTCAGTAACACTGACAATAATTTCTGCTTTTGAAACCAGGAATTAATTTGCATAACAAACCTTGGCATTGAATTCAGCAAGGAAATCAAAATGCTTTTTAAGATCTGTGGCAAGGATTGCTTCAATGACTAAAAAACGAAAGCGCTTGAATTGCACATTATCAAGATTAAGAAGGAAGTTGTATTCTGGACGAGAAAGATACAGATTCCAGGCTGATGCAGCGTGATGATTTTCCAGAACAGATCTGTCGTTGTACAAAACTGCCTAAAAAGGAATAAGAAAAATGAGGCAGGCATCTCAAAGATACTGAACTTTAATAATAAACAGAGTTAGGATCAGGTTGGAAGAATACAATGAGTACCTACTACATGCCAGGCATGTTAATACCTGTAAAGAAGGGTTGATAATTTTATAAATGAGTAGACTGAAATGCAAAGAGGATAAGGTACACCTTTCCAGCATTCACAGCTAGTAAGCGAAAGGGTAATTTGTCTCCAAAGTTCATCTTTGCAGACACCACACTGCCTACCAAGAGATGTAAAGTTGATATCTGAGGTCAACTTCATTAAATCAATAAACCTTCTCAGATAAAGCTTCTGTTAATAAAGTCATTAGGGACAGAGAGAGCAGGTTTAGGGATATATTACTGTTCTTTAGCCAGCATGGAATGAACATGCTGACTAAAGCATGAAGGAGAGGAACCTGGAATACTGTGCATGGTGAGTCAGAGACCCACAAATATGAGAAGGGCACATCCTATACTCCCAACTGACACAGTGCCTGGGAGTCAGAGAAGTATCAAGCAGGTAAAAGCACAAATTCTCTGGTTCAAGTGCTGTAGATTTATTCACTTTTTTCCCACTTCACTCTAGTGGAAGACCCTGAGGTACGACCTCAGTAGTCTAGGATTTGGGAATACAGATTTTAAAAACCACTGGATTATATAGAATTTTTAAAGCTTCTTCCATCTCTAACAAGCAAGCAATTTTTAAAATTATTACATAAGCATAGTAATTATTAGAAGAACTCTCATAGCCAGTGCTAACGGCTGAGTATAAAAATTAAAACGTTGTCCCTATTTTCATGGAACTTCCTGTCTAATGGAAAAGGAGAGATAAAAATACTGCGCAATCTCAGTTAAGACGCATATTCTGAGCCTAATTAGATTGTTTTACATATTTGTGAAAATTAGCTATAGTCTAGATTTAAGCATAGATACTTACCATTTGATTTTTTTTTTTACATCATTTATTTTTATGTTAGCAATGATATGATTTAAACTTTGCAGTGAGTCATAAAAAGGCTGGAAACAATGTGTCCACCAATGGATGAATAAAGAAGATGTAATATATATAGACACAATGCAATATTTTTTAGCCGTGAAAAAGAAGGAAATCCTGCCATGGGTGGACCTTGAGAGCATTATGCTAAGTGAGATAAGTCGGAGAAAGACAAATACTGTATGATATCACTTGCATATAATCTGAGACTGAACTCTAGATACAGCAGATCTAGGTTGTTACCAGAGGGTGGGGGAATTGGGAGATGGTGGTCTAAGGGTACAAATGTGCAGTTTAGAGACAAGTTCTGGGGATCTAGTGTACAGCATTGTGATTATAATTAACAATACTGTATTATATAATAAAAAACTGCTAAGAGACTAGATCTTAAATGTCCTTACCACACACACAAAGTTAATTATGTGATGTGATGGAGGTGTTAGCTATCGCTATGGTGGTAATCATATTACAATATACGTATCAAATTAAAACGTACATGTGAAACTTCAAAGACTTCCTAAGGGGTCAACTTGCATTTAATAGTGATTTAACTAATTCATGCTTAAATCCAATAAAGACTGATAAATTATCAGAATAGCTTTGTTCATGAAGAAGTAATCAAACTCCCAGCTCAATAAATTACAATGTATAATGAGTGTCCTGTAAAGCCAGCTGACTTAAACTCTCAGCTAGTGAGATGAGTAAAAAAAAAAAAATTAGTAATTCAGAATTCCTGCAGCATCCAAATTACCCTTTGACCTTACCAAAGAAATATAAAATGGGGACCAAAAGAAATCTGAGTCAATATTAGAATCTAGATATAATCACTATACTGGAAGCTTTAAAGACATGGTTAAATGTGGGAATGGATTGAGGAAAGGCCATCTAAGTCATTGCATAAGAAGGAAAAACCCACCTGGAGAATAAGTAGGAGTCCCCTGCTGGACCCCAGTCAACTCTCTACCTCATGGCTGAGTGGAGGCAAGAATCATGGAGCAGTAAGGAGGCAAATTCTGCTTTAGAAGAATACTGGAAGCTTGCATATAGAGCAACAAGCCAAGCTTAAACTCTGTGAGGAAAACATTCCAGGTAAAACAGATAATGAAGCCTCAGCTGGCTTTTACTGAGAGCACCATGACAACTAGAAAAGGAAGACAGTTTCCCCCCTAATTTAGAGCTGCAGTAACTAACATCCTCTGAATTTTGCTAAAGCAACTTGCTACCTGCTTTCTCTAGTTATGGATCCCATCCTTATCTCCACAAGCAAATACTTCTCTAACATGGCAAAGCAAATTAGTTGATCATAAAGTTTACTTATACCCTCTCTGAATCAAAAAGATTTGAAAAGGGGTTTAATACAAACTCTGACGGAATTAATCTTAACAAAAACCCATCAGACATAAAGACTTTGATCAAACAGGAAGACTATGACAAATCTGAACAAATGTCTCCTTTTGAAACACAAGAAAAAGGAGGAAACAGAAAAATCTCTAGGTCATAGTCATAAGATTAAAGAAGGTATTTTAATTTTTCTGAATGAAAAATCTTGGATTAAGAAAGACTGTTTTCATTAAAACAATATTCCTAACTTAAAAAAAAATCCAATAGAGGCAGTAAATGAATTAGGTGCAGCAGTAAACAAATTAGGTGCAGTAGAAAACAATGAAGCTACTTTATTTAATTTTTTTTATTTTTTATTTTTTATTTTGCGGTACGCGGGCCTCTCACTGCTGTGGCCTCTCCCGCCGCGGAGCACAGGCTCCGGACGCGCAGGCGCAGCGGCCACGGCTCACGGGCCCAGCCGCTCCGCGGCACGTGGGACCCTCCCGGACTGGGGCACGAACCCGTGTCCCCTGCATCGGCAGGCGGACACCCAACCACTGCGCCACCAGGGAAGCCCCCCTACTTTTTTTATAAAGAAGTATTTCTCTTTAAAGAAATAGTCTTAACGAACAGGTGTCATCTGGGGATTCCTTTACTCTCAAGTTTTGGGTTCTAAAATTTCTGGTAATCCCATAATCTTCTAAGACCCTTTGTCTTAGTTATCACCCTTGTTTTGCTAAAACACATTTTTATGTAACTTTCTCAGGATGGATGGAACATGATTTTTAAAAATCTTTGCATACCTGAGACTCTTTCTTTTGCTCTTAACACTCAACTGTAGCTTAGCTGGATACAGAACTCTAACATGAAAATAATCCTTTTACGCCAGCACTATCTCCTCCCGTTTTACTTTTTTCCCAGCACATATGTCATAATCATCTCTCTGTCTTTTACACACACACACTTATTTGTTTTTTCTTGCTTTACTAGAATGTAAATTCCATGGGGGCAAAATATTTTTTTTGCCTGTTTTGTTCAATAATATTGCCTAGAATAGTGCCCGTCCCACAGTATGCATTGAATAGCCTTGTGTATGTTTTATTGCTGAGTCTCCTTAATTGGAAAGGATGAGTAGGAATCCTGTGAACATGGATGGGGCCTGTTTACCTAGCAGGTTTTGCTTTAGAATTACCAGTGTGATTTCAAAAATGAGAAGGATTTACTCTGGAGTACTAAATCTCTCCTGGCCATTTACTTCAATATCTAAGAGGTGTGTTTTCTGCCTGGAAGTAAATGCAGTAAATACAGTAGCTTTGCTTAAAGGTGTGTGGTGTGTGTTATATGGGAGGTGTGTGTGTGTGTAGAGCAGACAAAGGCAAATGGCATCAGGAGTCTCTAGGGTTCCAATTAGGCCTCAGCTCCCTTCTAGTATACTTTTTTTTTTTTTTTTTTTTTTCTTTGCTGTACGCGGGCCTCTCCCATTGCGGAGCACAGACTCCGGACGCGCAGGCTCAGCGGCCATGGCTCACGGGCCCAGCTGCTCCGCAGCGGCATGTGGGATCCTGCCGGACCGGGGCACGAACCCGTGTCCCCTGCCTTGGAAGGCGGACTCTCAACCGCTGTGCCACCAGGGAAGCCCCCTTCTAGTTTACTTTAATCTCGTAATATTTGCCCACATGTTTTTCATTTTCCAGAAACAGTATGAAATTCTTTAACCTACTGGTGATAATATCCTCCCGCCAACTCCTCTCTGTCGTAATGAGCTTCATCCCTTACTAATATTTTGATCAGGAGGAAAAGGAGAAAATTGTACTTGTTTAGTCACCATCTTGATCTATATTTGGGAGGACAAACATTTATGACTGTCTCAGATCTACAATTCTCAAAGTTTTGTTTACTTTTACCCCAAATCAAAATATTCTACAAATGCTAACATCTCAATCACTAATCTCCATCTTTCAGCCAACTATTCATTTGGAAATAGCTCAGAAATCTCTTAGAATTTTAATACTGACATCCCTCCAGGATAAAGCTGACTAAATGTTTCCCCTTCTCTCATGGCAAGGATTCAAAATAATCCTCCTAAGTCTTCCCACACACTTCTCTTACCATGAGAATGAAGAATGCTTGATCCAGTTGGTGGTATTATAACACTATTGTCCCTTTTTATCATACACCAGAGCAATAATATCTTTCACTATTTATGAACTGATTAGACCTATTGAGCTTCCTAAGATGAGAGAGACTGCTTTATTAGCTAATAAACAGGTTAGGCCTCAGGCTTTCACAAAAGAGTCCTTATCTCACAGGCACTAGCTGAAGAAGGTCTCAAGAATTTCATCACTTTGGGAACAACGGAGTATATTTCAGACAAGCTTAGCGGTCCTGCAGAGCAAAGAAATTAGGGATCCTTCAACATTCAACAAATTTTTACTGAATGCCTTCAGTGTGCTAGGTACCATTCTAGGTATTAGGGAATAAAAGAGATCAAAATCCCTGCCCTCTTGGAAACTTATACTCCTCTGAGAGGCATGGAATAAACAAAATACACAAGCAAAATACATTGTATGCTGAATGACCATTGTTATGATCAGGGGAGGAACATAATGAGTGCCAGGGAGGGGCTTTTGAAATTTCAGGTGGAAGGAAGTGACAAAGTGAGCTATATATTGGGTTGGCCAAAAACTTCGTTAGGGTTTTTTTTTGTAAGATGCTACGGAAAAACGCAAATGAACTTGTTGGCTAACCCAATATATGTCTGGGGAAAGAGCACTCCGGGCAGAGAGAACAGAAACTGACCAGGTTCTTAGAAAGGGAGTGTGGCAGCACACAGAAGGAAACAGCAAGGAGGCCAGTGAGGCTAGACCTGAGTGAATTTAAAAAGGAGAATTACTGGGGGCTAAATCGTGCAGGGCCTTCTGAGCCACTGTAATGACTGTCTTTTACTAGGAGTGAGGGCTTGGAACAGAGAGTGATGTAATGCACGTTTAAACAGGGCCACTCTGGCTGCTCTGTGTTGAAACCAGACTGAAGGGGAGCAGGAAATAAGCAAGGAGACTAGGTAAAAGGCTGTACTTTTTCATAGCTGAACTCTGATCAATTTCCTTTCCAGTCCAGCCCTTTCCATTGCTTCATCTCTTGGCAGTCCTTAACAATGAGAATTTAGAAACAACACAGAGTTACTGATTGTGTCCAGGCTTCATGTTTGTATTTTGATCAGGACAACAGTTTTGAGTATACAACTTATATAAATTACATTCATGTGTCATTGTTTTCAATTATCTGCATGCAAGACAAGTAACACTAGAATTCACTAACTTGTAATATCCTTGAAGAAGAGGTAATAAACAAGTCTGACTCACGTATACTCAAAGCTAATAAAGAGGGAATGAAAGCAGAGGGTGGAATAGAATAGTAAATAATTTCTTTCTACATGGTATCTGATTCAGTAGAAAACTTTCCAAATTTTATCTCTTTTAGTCATATCAGGTACATATTTTGAGGTTCAGAAAGATAAGGGTTACTTGCCTAATGTTACATAACTAATAGTAGGTAACCAGAAATTAAACTCGGGTCTCTCAATACAAAGACCAGTACTTTTCCCACTGTGCCACTACTGCCCAGGTCTGTGCCTTGCCATAGGACTAGGATTATGAAGTGCTAGGCTAGAGAAAATGGGCATCTGATTCTTGCAGAATGGGACTGCAAATGTGGAAATGTGTTCCTTAGTGGGAAATTTCTCCCAAAGCAATTCTTAGAAAGTGGAAAAATATTAATATCTAGATTGAAATTCATTGAAAAGTTACCTGTGGAAATCATGAGCTATGAAGAGATGAAGTCTAACTGGAGAAAATGAATTACATAGCACTTTTTTTTTTTTTTTTTTACATAGCACTTTTCATCTTCTCTCTCTCTCTCTCTGAATCCTATTCTTGTTCTGGGTAGAGAATCTATCTCCTATATTTTAAGCAGTGGGAGTGTGTGAGAGAAATGAGAAAAGGAACACAGAGAATGGTTATAAAAGATGAAAGAATCAGAACTGAGTTTTGAACATAGAGCAACAAAGTGAGGAAGTAAGATGAATTCAGCAAACAATCATTGACAACTTGCTCTTTGTAAGGCAGGCAGGCAGGCAGAAATACAAAGCTGACATTTCAGGAATCACCAGCCTAAACAAAAATTCACAACCACACTAAATTCTGCTTAAAACCAAGTATAGTCATCCCTTAGCATCTGCAAGGAATTGGTTCTAGGACCCCTGCAGATGTTCAAGTCCCTTAACAAAATGATGTAGTATTTTCATGTAACCTACGCACATCCCCTGTATACTTTAAATCTTCTCTAGATTACTTATAATACCTAATAGAATGTAAATAGTTGCCAGTGTGCAGCAAATTCCAAGTTTTGCTTTTTTTGGAACTTTCTGGAATTTTTTAAATTTTCAAATATTTTTGACCTGCAGTTGATAGAATCCATGGAGGCAGAAACCCTGGATATGGAGGGCTGACTGTATTTAGTTCCAAGTCCTAATGTTTAAAGTCATCGCAATTACAGTATCCATTTGTTGGGGACTCCTACCTCTTATGCAAATTGTGACCCTAAAGGAATCTTGCACCTTATCGGCTGAACTGAGTACAAAAATAATGTACTAGAAGATTTTTTACATATATGAATATATGCAGACCTAAGAGACTGCATATTATGGTATGTCTTAGAGAAAAAAAAGAGGACAACAACAAAAATAATAACAGTTCTCAAGTCATTATAGCTTTTAGGCATATGAAGGGTCTTGCTAGAAGGAAGAGTAAGTCTTACATCTAGTCAAAGTCTTATCAATTTGATCAAAGGCAAAGATATTGACAGCGAAGACTCCAGAATTTCATAAAAGTAGCGAATTACTCTTTCAGGAACATTTTATTTATTTTCCAGTTGAAGATGATTTTTCCCTGATTCTTCAGCACATGTCATATCACTGCCGTGTGTTATTATCCAACGGCCAAATGATTCAATTGAAGAATTGTTTACAAAGGGAAATACAGTATGGCTGTAAAACTTCAGAATAACTCCTTAAACTTTCTGAAAAAGTAGTTCCTACCTGAGGGGCATTTGTAGCCACTAGAAATGCATTTGTCCGCCCTGGGTGGTCGTAATCATGCATGGCAGCTGCCACGTACAGAGCCATCAATTCCAATGCAGGAATGTTTGAAGACAGGCAGCCATAGCTCTCATCTGGAATAGAGCAACTCCTCGAAGAAATGTAAGCAATTCGCCCAGGGTTAATTCTACCGTTAGAATCTGAGGAACAAGCAAAATAACCCAGCATTACACATAATATCCTCACAAGGAGGCTAAGGAGGAGATTCCCATAGGTAATATGATTATTTATCTTATTTGTTGACTTACCTAAGAAATAGACTCTATTTATAAACATGGACATAAAATAGTATACTATTTCCAACATACATGCTAATAGAGCGGAACAGTATTAAACACGACCCTGAAGTCACTCACTTTACAGGACATGACAGGATTCTCATGATGCTGGTACTCAAGCTGGTGATAATTTTTAAAAACCTCTGATTGATAGATGCGCCACGGCTTCAGTAGGGACCGCTCCTCTCGAAGGGTCTGAGCCTCGCCAGCCCCTCCCCCAGGAGACCGTTGCAGTGGGCCAGCCCCTGCTCTTTGGTAACCATGTGTGACCGAAAGGCTGTGATCAAAAATGCCGATATGTTGGAGGAGATGCAACAGGACTTGGCGGAGTGTGCTACTCAAGCATTGGAGAAATATAGAGAAGGACATTGCGGCCCATATCAAGAAGCAGTTTGACAAGAAGTATTACCCCACCTGGCACTGCATCGTGGGGAGGAACTTCGGTAGTTATGTGACACATGAAACCAAACACTTCATCTACTTCTACCTGGGCCAAGTGGCCATTCTCCTGTTCAAATCTGGTTAAAAGCATGGACTGTGCCACACACCCAGTGCTCCGTCCAAAAACAAGGACTGCAGCCTAAATTCCAAATACCAGAGACTGAAATCTTCAGCCTTGCCTAAGGGAACACCTTGATCTTTATTGTGTTGTTTTGTACAGGGCATTCTCTGTACTAGTTTGTTGTGGTTATAAAGCAATTAGCCAAACAGCTTACATTTGTATTTTCTATTCCATACCTCTCTGCCCCATGTTTTTTCTCTTCAAAATCCATTCCTTTAAAGAAATAAATGTGTTGGAGAAGTGTGCGTTTAAAAAAAAAAAAAAAAAAGCCAAACCTCTGATTTTCTAAACATTTGTTATTTAATGATTAGATATAATGGCCGGGGTAACAGGAAAAACCAACCTAGAGAATAACATTTCATGAAATAGTATAGAGACTTAGGAATTTAATATATTAACAAAGTAAGCTATTCAACATAGATGCTTTTTAAATCTTATCCAGATAGATTACCTTTCATTTGTAACCCTGACTACAATCCTTCTTCCTCTTCTTTTTCCTTCCACGAAGCCCCTTATAAAATACTGTAAAGAAAAACTATGAATCCTGAAAAGGCATGGAAAACTGAGGAATGACTCAGTCAATATAACTCTTTTTATCTTCTAGTTAGAAACAGTGTTTTCACTATCAGCAGTGTGCTTTTGGTGTCCTTAATATCTTACATTTGTTTCTTCCTTTTTTGTAATTGGGTGGCTGTCTCCATTTAGATAGTCACTAGATTGTTTTTGCTAAAGGGTTCTTAAAGTATTAAGAAGGAAATAATAAACTATATTGAGAGTAGACAGCAAATAAAACCACAAAGATATTAGAGAGATACTAAATTTCATTGATGTATTCACCAGTGGAAACTCACTCAGAATAATGTCCTGGCTTGTCAAAGTCCAAAAGGACTTTATCATAATTTAGTTCACTCAATATTTGCAATCACAAGAATGTTTTACCATAATGACTTTAACACACACTATTGATAATTATAAAGATACCTAATTATTTTCATGCTGTTTATATTTTGTACCTAAATTGAGTTTTAGAATTACCCATACTAGAGCTACTTTTAAAAATAATTATAAAAAGTAAAAACAACAGTTAAATGTATGGATAAAGATATATTTAATTCTGATAAAATTTTAATTACCAATATCAGAGTCAATAACTTCAATTTTTCCTGCATTATATGCGTTCTGTGTTTCCCCTAGAATTTAAAATATATACATAAAATATCAAAAATGGCAAAAAAATCCTTTTAAACTCAATAATTACTTAGAATTGACATATTAGGATCTTAATACATTAGTTTGTATATATTTAACATTAGTAGTTTAAAAATTAGTAGTATAAAAAAGAAAATAGATGGAAAGGACAACTAAACATAACTACTGTAGATCCCATTTAAAAGGAGGCCTCACAGGACTTCCCAGGCGGTCCAGTGGTTAAGACTTCACCTGCCAATGCAGGGGGTGCGGGTTCAATCCCTGATTGGGGAGCTTAAGATCCCACATGCCAAAAAACCAAAACATAAAACAGAAGCAATATTGTAACAAATTCAATACAGACTTTAAAAATGGTCCACATCAAAAAAAAAAATCTTTAAAAAATTAAATAAATAAAATAAAAGCAGGCCTCAGTAAAAGGCATCCAGATTGAAAAGGAGGAGGTAAAACTACCTCTATTTGTAAATGACATGATTGTATACAGAAAAATCCTAAAAAATCCACTGGAAAACTATTAGAACTAATAAATGAGATCATAAAGGTTGCAGGGTACAAGATCAATATGCAAAAAATCAATTTTATTTCTTCACACTAGGAATGAATAATCAAAAAATGAACCCAAGAAAGCAATTCCATTTACACTAGCATCAACAAGAATAAAATACTTAGGAATAAATTTAACAAAAGAAGTGCAAAACCAGTATTCTGAAAACTAAAAAATATTGTTGAAAGAAATTAAAGAAGACTTAAATAAGTAGAAAAATATCCATGTTCATGGTTCAGGAGACTTAATATTGTTAAGATAGCAATACTCCCCCAAATGATCTATGGTTCAACACAATCCCTACCAAAATCCCAGCTGGCTTTTTTGGTACAAGAGATATATAAGCTCGCCCTAAAATTCATATGGAAATGCAAGAGATCCAGATTAGCCAAAACAATCTTGAGAAAGAAGAATAATTTCGAAGTTTACTACAAAGCTTTAGTAACAAAGATTGTGTGGTACTGGCATAGGATAGACACATAGATCAATGGAATAGAATTGAGAGTCCAGAAATAAATCCTCATATATATGGTCACTTGCTTTTGGACAAGGGTGCCAAGACCTCGTTGAGAGCCAACTATGCCCTGCGTGATGCAAGGCACTTTCATACATGTTGTTTCATTTAATGCTCACATCTTAAAAGGTAGAAACTGATTTCATAACATCTAAGAGCCAACCATGTACAGAATATATAAAGAAATTTTTTCAACAAATGGTGCTGGGACAACTAGATATCCATGTGCTAAAGAATGAATGTTGGACCTCTTCCTTATTTCATCCCCCCAAATTAGCTCCAATGGATCCTAGACCTAAACTTAAGAGCTAGCTATAACTATGAAACTCTTGGAAGAAAACATAGTAAATCTTCATGACCTTGAGTTACACAAACCCTTCTTAGATATGACACCAAAAGCATGAGTAATGAAAGAAAAAATAAGATAAATTAAACTTCATCAAAATTAAAAGCTTCTGTGCTTCAACAGACACCATCAAAACAAGTGCAAAGGCAACACAATGTGAGGAAATAGCAAATCATAAATCTAATAAGATACTTGTATCCAGAATATATAAAGAACTTCTACAACTCAGTAATGAAAAGACAAATGACCAAATTTTTAAATGGACAAAGAAGATATACAAATGGCCCATAACAACATGAAAAGTTGCTCAATGTCATTAGCTATTAGGGAAATGTGAATCTAAAAACCCACAATGAGATACCACTTCACACCTACTAGAATGGCTATCAAAAAGATAGATAATAACAAGAAATTGGAACCTTCATACGTTGTGTGTGGGAATGTAAAATAGTGCAGCCACTTTGGAAAATAGTTTGGCAGTTCCTCCAAATGTTAACCACAGAGTCACCTTATGACCCAGTAATTCCATAAAACTAGGTATATGGCCAAGAGAAATGAAAACATATACCCACACAAAAGCTGGTAGAATATTCATAGCAGCATTATTCATAACACCCCAAAAGTGGAAAGAACCCAAATTTCCATCAACTGCATACTGACTGGTAGAAGAGTGAGAAAGAGGCAGAAAAAAAATGCTTAATATATAAAATAAATATCAATATATATCAAAGCAATGAGGAAAATACATGGCTATTATAGACTTCATTTCTGTGACTCATCACATAGCTGTGTTTGGGATTTAATCATTTTCTTATTTCACTACCCATCCCTCATTCCCTTTTTGCTCAGCCAGCATCTCTACTGATTATGGTTCTTTGCCCAGTGGGATGACCCATACTTTCAGGGGTCTGTACTATTAGTGACCCTTATGGCACTGGATTACTGCAGTTTTTCATTATCTTTTGTCACTGGACATAGGAGTACCAAAAAGGTCAGAGAATCCCCTGGGTTCCTAACACACATCCTCCCATGTGTAGTAGGAACCCTATTTTATCTTGATAATGAGGATCAGACAGGATCAATCACCTGACCTTGTACAGAATCCTCCTCCTGTTTACTGGTTCAAAGGCATGGAGAACACAAAGTGGCCAGATGTCAGTCTCAGTTTACAGTTTCCCTTTTATGTGTCCTCTATTGAAAGCATTTTTCCTTGGGAACTAAGGTGTGTAAGCCAAGTTTTTGTTTGTTTCGGTGGGGGTGGGGGGAGCAAAAATTTTCTAAGTGGATCATTTGAGGTAACAGAAAAAACCCTCCTAATCCCACTCTTTGATTCACAGATTTGTGTATTCTTGGAATAGGAGAAATGGTACCATATACTGGTCATTGGTTCAGAAAATAAACCACATTTTGTGGGACAGCACCTTAGCCCCACAAAATGTTTTCACCTAACAGGTGCCCCAACTGAGTTTTCAATATGTCATTCTCTCAGGCCAGCTGTGGGATGATAAAGTTCATGAAAAGATCAGTAAATTCTGTGAGCATGAGCCCACTGCAACAATCTTTTGAGGCAAAAATGAGTTCCTTGATATGCACTACTGTATATAATAAGCCAATGGTGAATAAGGCATTCACTAAGTTCATAGATGGTGATGGTGAAGCACTATAGACAGTAAAAGTAAATCCATAC